AATTATGATAGGTATATATATTACCCTTATGGAAAAATATGGCTTCTTGCAACTATTTGCAGCAATATTGCCGCAACTATTTGCGGCAATATTGCTGCAAATATTCATTTTTCGTATGCAAATGAGTTTTCTTGCAAACAGTTGCCGCAACAAATTGCTGCAACATTGCGGCAAATATTTGCAGGAAAATTAATAGCTGCAATGTTGCCGCAATATTGCGGCAAATATTCATTTTTCGTATGCAAATTAGTTTTCCTGCAAACAGTTGCAGCAACATTGCCGCAACAAATAGCTGCAACATTGCGGCAATGTTGCAGCTAATTTGTCAGCATTTTCTTCTGAAAAAGGAAAGAAAGACATAATGTACTATAAAGCAAATTAACTTTTATTTTATTCTAACCATCTAAAAAAACAGACATTTGACACAAATGCACACAATAATAAAATAAACAGTTTGAGAAAAAAGAACTATAGGATAAATAACAAAAATTGTTGATTTTTGTATTTCTACAATAGTAGGTCCAGATGCATTTAAATGATCTTTGAAATATTTGACTTTCTTGTTTTTCTATTCATTAAAGGATTTAAAAATGCTGATCAATGCCCTATAGAAGATACTGTATTAAAAAATAAAATTGCTATTGTATTATGGGGGCATATAATTATTCACTCAGCAAATGAAAAAAAACACCTCCAAACCTTAAAATCTACTGCTCAATTCAAGCTAAGGACCATCTTATAATGTTGCCATATCACTCATCAAAAAAATCTTTCCAACATTTTTTTTTGTGTCATTTGGTTGTTTGGTGGTTTTTATTTCTTACCAGGCACACCTTATTTTGATTTAAATCTGATGCATTTATAAGCTTTTCACTTTCATATTTCTTTGATCAAAATCATATATTTTTACCTCTGACAACATGAAACAGTACGTTGTATGTGACCATTCATTAAATAGGTTCAGTTGAGGTTTTAAGTAAATGTTAGTGCTCAAATCCTTTAATTAAGATCTCTCAAACAAGTCAAAGGATAGCAAAATGAAGCCATGCAGATTAAGATTAAAAAATTAATAATAAACATGAATAAATAGTAACTATTTGTCTCTTTGTTCTTAACATCATCAAATAAGTATAAAATGTCACATTTAATTTTTCACCACCCAATATGTAACTGTTCTATAACAGGGACAAATGATAATCCATAAAAATAACTTCAATTGCTCTCCATTGAAACACTGTGACACATCTTCTTGTGTAAACATTTCAAATTGTCAAATATTAAGTAAGACTCCATTGCATGAAATTGAAACAATCATTTCTTCTCTATAATCTTTGTCGATGCCCTTTTGCAGGTGTGTATCTTGGAATTTAAAGCACTATTAAAGTCACTGTCTTTGACATTAAATTTGTTGATTATATATACTGAAAAATAAAAGTAGAACTATGATCCATCTAGCATATGAAAGTATAATCATACAAACGTGTTATTGTGTTAAAACATAATTCAGAGTTGGAAATTATAGCCTGCCCGAGACGGCCTATTTTACGATCGGGCGGTCAAAAATTAAATTTCAACAGTCCGGTGGACGGTCTATTTTTTGCAGGTGTTTGGGATTACTTTTTTTCTATTTTTGGAATGAGTTCTCAGTATTACCCCATTCATAACAGCACGTAAGAATCATGACTGCCAATTAACCTTTTACTACCACGTGTTTCCACACGATTTCTGCAGGGAACATGGTGATACCTGTTGTTTGTAAGATCCTCACTCATTGGCTAGTTGGTATCGAATCGTCCAATCGCGATCACGTTTATTAAATAAAAAATAAATATAAGAGGAAATCGAAAGTACAAATTTGTTTTTGTAAACTCATGTCTTTACGACAGTACTTGGGCCTTTCGTTGCCGAAAAAGCGAACTGCTGTTGACTCAACAGGAAAAAATAAATTGTACGATCAGTCTAAGAGGAAGCGGACAATTGTTCCTGGTTGAAATTATGAAATTATGAAATTATGTAAGGATCAATGTATTTGTCAGTGATAAACATGTGATATTTATATATTAAATATACATTATTGTGTCTTTTCTTTTCATTTTATTCATTGTAATCATTTTTACTAAATTTAATTGATCATTCTGCTTGTAATTGGCATGATATTTAATTGACAATAAAGTATTTGAACTTGAAATTGTTAATATGACAAATGAAAAGAAAATTAAATTAGATTAATGTAATCAAATATATATTTCAATACTTATAAACAGGATTAACATTTCCTTTTTAAACAAAACAAAAAACACACTTAAAACTTTGCTCCTCTATCCTTATAAAATACTGTTCATAAAGACAAGATGGTGATTTTTATAAATGAGATTGTTTATATACATGTACATGTATACATATAATACATGTAATAATAAGATGTGGTATGATTCCAAATATTAAGACTTTCCTCCAGAGACCAAATGACATAGAATTAACAGTTATACAGTTACAACTGTAGTATATGTCATCATAGCAATGGTCAAACCCATACTGTATAGTAAGCTAGAAAAGCCCAGTAAGGACAACCCTTTCAAGAAAATAACAGCCTGATTTTTGTACATAACTATGAATGAAAAAACAAATATGATGTATAGTAAGGACAACCACATGTATTTCAAAGAAAATTTCTTACTACATTTTTGAAAACCATCAATACATATATACATAATATATATATATACCCGGTAGCTTAAAGATATGATTCTTGCGACATTCTTGCAAACAATCTTGTTCAAAATTTTATTAAGTACATTTTCTCGCAACATTTTTGCAAACAATCAATTCCTATATCTTAAAGATATGATTCTTGCAACATTCTTGCAAACAATCTTGTTCAAAATTTTATGAAGAACATTTTCTTGCAACATTGTGGCAAATAGTTTCTTTCCTGCAACATTGCCGCAAAGTTGCTGCAATTTTCCCGCAAACAAAAGTTGTTGCAGCAATGTTGCGAGAACTTTGCAGGTAGCTGCAACAACCTGCAACTTTACTGCAAACATTTCTTGCAAACAGATTTGTTTGCTGCAATATTGCGGCAATATTGCTGCAATATTGCAGCAAACTTTTCATTTCTGTAAGGGTAATTCATATCAGCGGTATATCAAAATACATATAGGTACAGTAACTGTACGATAAGCATTAAAGTGCTATGAGCATCATACCAATTATTTAAATTAATTTATTCGGTTGTTATTTGGTGGCTTTTTTTAATAATTTTAGTTTGGATATTTTCATTTGTTGTTTTTTCGTATTCGTTTGTGAAATCAGAAAAAAATAATTAAATAGAATAAGTTATTATTTCTAATGAAAGGAGATGGAAAATATCTTATATTGCAGAGTATAATGTTTGTGTACTATGTATTCATTTACTACCAGGAAGATATATATTGACGGTACTTGCCACTACATAATTGTAGCCTATTTTATCGTTAGATATACTGTTCCCAGCAGTATACATAGATATTCTTTTGTAATTTTCAGCTCCTTTCAATGAAAATTTTAAATTATTCTTTTAAACTTAATCTTACTATAATGCCGCTGAAACAATAGTACGTAGTCCTAATAATAGCTAAACCGATTCAGTAGCAATTTCACATATATACATGTTTTTTATACCAAGAACATATATATTAAAATACTGTTCCCAGGGTTAACGTGTCCCAATAACCTCATTAACGAAAACAGACAAATATTTCGCCAAAAAAATTTCCTTAACCTCAACCATTTAACTTCTCAAAACACATTCAACATCTAAAACTTGTACAATTAACTTGCGGTTATAACGGCTTCTCACCCATACCCCCAATTCTATGTGGATATGATACCATCGAAAACATGAATTAAAAATTGAAAAGAGAAAAGAGTAGTTTAACAGTTAATGATAACAATTTTACTAAAATAAATAAATAAATAATAATACCATGTTACCAATAAAATATAAAAAGTAAACTGAATCTTCAAGCGGCAAGTTTTTTATACTTACATGTATGCGGAAATTATCTCTTTTTCTCTCTATTGATCCTGTCACTTTTCTTTCTTCCATAGTATTATTTCAGCACCGTATTGAGTTTTGAGTTTTGAGATTAATTTTAATTTTGTAACATGAATGTTAATATTGCTGTACCAGAGACATATATACGTGTATAGTCACGGTCAACCTGGGACTATTATACTGTTAGTATAATAGTCCCAGCGGTCAACTGAGACTCAGTACTATAGTCTCAGGTTTTGACCTGGAAAACTGGAGGTGTTCGTTTGATTCGAGGTTTGATTCATTTTAACACTAAATAACACTGTACTTACTTTGCTCAAAGAATCGATTAAAGCATTGTGACCAATACATCAATATATTGTAACTTTAAGGATGGAATCCGTTAAATGTTTCCTTAGGCCAAAACAAATTAATATATGTGTTCCGCTAACCCTATACCTACCCTAATTTTTAGTGCCTACCTTAACACTTTTTATGTCATTTTGGAACAAGCACTGTTCAGTAAAATCAGACTGATTCGCTAGTAGTAACCAGCTAAAAAATATTTGTAAAATAAAATGATATTGCCTACCTACTTACCCAGAGACATATAATACAATTATATGTCTCTGACTTACCCTATATGTTTTTCAAGGCGTTAGCGGAAACACGTAAATTATTTTTTTGGCCTTATTGGCGACCTAAAAGCAAGAACTGCAACTTATTCGATATTTATTAGACTTTTTCCTAGTAATACTATCCTTTTATTTTACATGTTTCACTGAATGGTCTTCCCTTTCCCGTATTTTTATTTTTGAAATTGGGGAAACACCTAAAATTGCCTCAAGTTATTTATAGTTAACAAAATGTCAGATATGACTGCATTAACAATCGCACTGAATAGAACAGCAAGCCAGAGCTGATGTGCGAGAACAGTGACAATGTGAATAAAAAGCTGCGATATTATGCTGTGATATGCGTACGTTGCTTGGAGTTTAGCGATACCAGTTGCAGGAACATTAATGATCAACTTCCGGTTATTTGAATGTGAAGAATAAGAATGTTTTCATGTTTGGTGCCTTCTAAATATGTATAATAAAGGTGAAAAGGTTAAGTATTTATTAGATTTTGATAGTGTTGAATACTTGCATTACTAAAATTACAACAAAACAAATGTTTTCAATGACTTACGACCTCATCCGAAAATGCTATGTGACTAGACCAGTTTGTCCCTAAGATTTACGCTTGGGCATTTTTTAAATAAATGAATTATTTTTGATTTCATACAAATAAAACATATACATGTTATGTTTATCTTCATTTTGATCTTATACCGAGCTAAGGGATAAATGCTTGCCAAGGCAACATTGAAATTATCTCCCTTTGCAAACAAAAATATTAAAGGAATAGAGGATAATGAGGTGTTGAATAACTGCAAAAATTGTGTAAAAATACACTGATTGCAGAAAGAAACAATGTGAGCAACATACAGTCATCAAGTAATTACAGAACATCCATATTGCTTAAAGAAAAGAACAATGAAGAATAATGAGCAGAACAATTGAGGAATACAGAAATCAAGAACCCCCTCATCCATCATGGGGAGGGGGGGGGGGGGTAAGGACCTTTATCAGGACTCTGGGATTGGGTGTTTTTAAGCTCGGGATTTCGGGATCCGGGAATTCTTTTTTCGAATTTCGGGATGTCGGGATTTAATTTTTTTTAAATTCCGGACCTCTGGATTCCATGTTTTTAAGCCCGGGATTTCGTGATCAGGACCCCTACTTTTCCCATAATTCAAAAGACCTAAACATGTTAATTATAAAGCCAGAATTTGAAGTACAATGTATGTAGACACATCTTAAGTAGTTAACTCAATGCTAGGAAAAAATAAAAATATTTTATTTTGGGTGTGCTCCTTCTTTGGAGGATTATCCACAGTACATAGAAGAAGTGAATACGATCAACAATGGCGGCCGGTTTTGTTATTTTCGAATGAAAAGTGAGGGCAGGCAAAGACAAATAAGTGTGAATTTGCTATTTTTTTTTACATAAACAAGTAAAACAATGTTTTTAACAAGTTGATTATGGTTTTCGACTTTCTGTCAATTACGTTTTCTCCATGAAACTACGGTAAACATCGCAAATTGTGTTGTACTATCAACAAAATGTTTAGTTTCTGTTCTCTAACTTAAGTTTGCCTCAACAAAATGTTATAAAACTTATACACAATGCTTATTACCACAAAACACAGATCAGGTTTGAATTTTGGTGGCGTCACTTTAACCGTTCTAGAGTTATGCCCTTCTATAAATGGAAATATTGCAAAATTTTTAGTTTCCATTCTGTAACTTAAGTTTGCCTCAACCAAATGTTATGAAACTTATACACAATGCTCATTAGTACTAAATAAAGATCAAGTACAAATTTTGGTAGGATCACTTTTATCGTTCGGTTCTTGAGTTATGTCCCTTTATAATGTTGTATGCAAGCAAGGGCATCATCTGTGTCCATGTGGACACATTCTCCATTTATTTTTTGCTGTGACACCTTGAACGTAACTCCTCAGCCACTTTTTCCGACTGGATTTTGACCATGTTGAAAGAGAATTTTGCTACGAGACCCAACTTTGCCATGCAATCTTCACTGACTACTAACATGACTAAACATGTTAAACATTCATATACTAATTCTTACCTTCTGCATGCAATGTTCTGTGTGCTTTTTTGTTCAAAATATTTCCTGGAGAATCCAAAAGTAAAGATTAAATGAATTACAACCCCATCAGAGACATTGATAAATGTAGATCTAAGATCTACATCTTTTTTCAAATATAATTATGTTTATGTTTTCCCAGATTTCCCAAGATCTTTCACTTTCAGAATAAATACAATAAATTTTCAAACTGAATTCCATAAAATTAAACAGACCTGAATTTAGGTAAAATAAAATGGAAATTATGGAACTCTAAACAAAAACCATCATGACCATGAACCACCAATATTTTTAGCTTATTTTGATCCATAACTTATGCTTTCCAGGTTATTGCATTAATTTTAAATTCTTGATTTATTTAATTTCACCTACATGTAAGTACATGTACATCTTAAGGTAGCACAATACAAAGATTTTTTCACCCCTAATCAGAGCACTTTAAACTGATGTAATTTCTTTCATCCAGCTTTAAATTTTATAAATGAGGTACCAAAAGAAATAAGAAAGATTTATCTTTCAAACGGTGATTATTTCATTATGACATGATTATTACATAATTAATTATTATGTAATAAGTTGCTATATTGTGATGTCCATACTTGAATGAAATTAGCTTCTTTGTTATTCGTACCACCCCAAAATATTTTATAGATTCTTGTGCAACACAGTTTGACCTCCAAAAGGGTGTCTCAGATTTTTGTCGAGCCTTCGACTTTTGTCGAAAAAGCGAGACATAGCGATCCTACATTCCGTCGGCGGCGTCCACAAATATTCACTCTGTGGTTAAAGTTTTTGAAATTTTAATAACTTTCTTAAACTATCCTGGATTTCTACCAAACTTGGACAGAAGCTTGTTTATGATCATAAGATAATATTCAAAAGTAAATTTTGTAAAAAAAAAATTCCATTTTTTCCGTATTTTACTTATAAATGGACTTAGTTTTTCTGCCAGTTAACATTACATTCACTCTGTGGTTAAAGTTTTTGAAATTTTAATAACTTTCTTAAACTATCCTGGATTTCTACCAAACTTGGACAGAAGCTTGTTTATGATCATAAGATAGTATCCAGAAGTAAATTTTGTAAAAAAAAAATTCCATTTTTTCCGTATTTTACTTATAAATGGACTTAGTTTTTCTGCCAGTTAACATTACATTCACTCTGTGGTTAAAGTTTTTAAAATTTTAACAACTTTCTTAAACTATCCTGGATTTGTACCAAACTTGGACAGAAGCTTGTTTATGATTAAAAGCTAGTATCTAGAAGGAAATTTTTTTTAAATTTTGTTCCATTTTTTCCTTATTTTACTTATAAACATGATAAATGGACTTAGTTTTTCTTCCAGTTAACATTACATACAGTCTGCAGTTTAATTTTTTAAAACATTTATTAGATTCATAAACTATCCTGGATTTTTACCAAACTTGGACAGAAGCTACTTACAATCAAAAGATAGTATAGAGAGGAATATTTTTATTAATTTTTTTTCCTCATTTTTGTTGAGCCTGCGATTAACAGCAAAAGTAGGCGAGACACTGGGTTCCGCGGAACCCTTACGAATTTTTCCTATTGTATTTCATTCTCTCATAAACCTTCAATGAAGTTTGCAACCTCAATTCATAAGAGATCACTAAATTAAATTGGGTATAAAATTTGTTCTATTGATGTTTTTGGAAATCTGAGACATCCTTTTGGAGTTAAACTGGTCAAGGAACAACATGTGTGAAAATCAAGCATATAGAGGCACCCATCTAGGAGCTAATTTCATTTGAAACTACATTTTCATGACAAAAATGAATGTGCCACAATTGAATAAATAAGGATTTTCCTACTTGTACCGTTTACCGTTTCTGAGTTTTGGAGTTTTATTCATTAAAAACGGAGGGATTTTCCAAGTTTTCGGACAATAACTCAAATTTCACCAATTTGCAAGAAACTTTGGTGAATTGATTTTTTTTTAAATTCTATCGACATGAGCTCCCTTTTGATTTTTATAAATTTAAGACTATATACATTTCCGATTTATGGGGTTTTATTCATTACAAAAAGGGGGATTTTCCAGTTTTGGGACAATAACTCAAAAATGCTTTCAGCATTTTTTGAAACTTTGGTAAATTGTTTATATCTATTGTTGTAAGCTCCCTTTTGATTTTTATAAATTTTAGATTGTACGTTTCTGAGTTATAAGATTTTATTCATAAAAAAAGGGGTGCTTTTCAAGTTTTTGGGCAATATCCTTGAAGTGCTTAGAGCAGTTTTCATTAAACTTTGATGACTGATTTATATCTATTAAGGTAACCTCCCTTTATTTTTTTTTGTAAATTTCTTATATAACATTGAGAAGTTATTGAACTTTATTTGTTTATAGTCTGACAACAGATTTCCTAAGTATTGCGCAACAGCACAGTGTATGCACAACAGCAAGAAATCTTTAATTGAATATAAATTCTATTCATATAACCAATTTCAAGTTCTTTGACTACATTTATTCAGAAACCTATAATATGTCAAATAAAATTGAGAATGGAAATGGGGAATGTGTCAAAGAGACAACAACCCGACCATAGAGCAGACAACAGCCGAAGGCCACCAATGGGTCTTCAATGCAGCGAGAAACTCCCGCACCCGGAGGCATCCTTCAGCTGGCACCTAAACAAATATGGATACTAGTTCAGTGATAATTGACGTCATACTAAACTCCAAATTATACACAAGAAACTAAAATTAAAAATGATACAAGACTAACAAAGGCCAGAGGCTCCTGACTTGGGACAGGCACAAAAATGCGGCGGGGTTAAACATGTTTTTTGAGATCTCAACCCTCCCCCTATATCTCTAGCCAATGTAGAAAAAACAAACGCACAACAGTACGCACAGTAAAACTCAGTTTAAGAGAAGTCCGAGTCCGATGTCAGAATAGGAAACAAAAGAAAATAAACAAAATGACAATAATACATAAATAACAACAGACTACTAGCAGTTACTGACATGCCAGCTCCAGACCTCAATATTTGATTACAATCCAAATTCAGACCTGTATCAAGCTGGAATATTGTGTCCATTTTTCCCCAACTGTTCAGGGTTGGAGCTCTGCGGGCGTATCCAGCTGTGCACAGCGAAGCAAGGGTATACAGTTTATTAATCAAATCTTTAAGGTTTGGCGATCAAACTTAGGATCTGTCAGAGGGCAGCAGGGACTAAACTAAATAGTCCCTCACTTGCAAACAAATGCAGCAGGTTTAAACGTTTTAATAGGTACCAACCTTCACACTTATCTGAAACAATAGTGTAACATCACATCATAGAAAGACACACTGTAAAATATCAATTGAAATGGCTTAACTCAATCAAAAGACATATTAACACAAGTGAACATACACTGAAGGAATAAATTTGATCTATAATACAATGTACATGATGTAAATACAAAATCAATAAAATATGGGATGAATAAATAAAGGCAACAGTAGTATACCGCTTTGAGATGTTAAACAATTTAAAAAAAACAACAATAACCTTGAACAAAAAACTGCCAAATAAATAATATACACAAGTAAATGAAAATAATTTTGTTGTAAGGGTATACAGTTAAAATGGAGAATGGAAATATTTTTTACAAAATAAATAATGTTGTTGTTCATAGTACGAATAAGTGAAAATTTATAGTAATACCAAACACTTATCAAACATGTCAAAGCTGGTATATAGATGAGATACAACCCTGAATAAGTAAACCTTAAGGTTCATCTATACACTTAAACAAAAATGGCTGTGTTTACACCATGAAATTTTCTCTGAGTACAGACAAAACTGTGTAATTTTAAAAGTTTTAATGCCTGGCAGCACCTAGATAAATTAATGTAACTAATGCAATTTAGACTTATTTATGTCTGAGCTCTGACTGTTTGCTGTCTATCATGTCATGCATGTCTATAGCTAATCTTCAATGAAAAGTATTTGAATACAATATTTTGATCAACTCTATCAGAGGATGGCATTAATTCAAATATTGTAAAATTATCACACATAATCCTATCCAGGCTCAAAAGCAACATACAATAATGTACATGTATTGGATTAAGTACAAAGCCTATATTAGCATGATTAGTACATGGTGTTGTCGTAGAAGTAAGAAATAAAAAGTACAGGTTCCAGTCTTACTTGGGGAGGAAGTTACAAATGAGATCTACTCTACAGCCCTCAATTTAGTCTATTAAAACAGTCGCCTGGGCGACCTATAAAGCCTCCAGGCGACCTTAATTTCATTGTTGGTTGCCATTTGGGCGACTGGTACTATTTGGACCTGGCGACTGTAAAATTCTGGATAATCAACCTGCCTCCGGTCATATTTTATTAAGTTTTATTCACAGTCATACGAGCGCTTGAACAGTCAGGGGTACTACTTGTACAAGTAATCTTTATTTACTTGAAGAAGTAAATGAAATAAACTTATATAAGTTAATTATAATGTTTGAATAATCTCCCCTTAATTTTCTCAAAAATTTACTTGTATAAGTAAATTTTTTTTACAATCCTTCAAAAATTCTCAAGTTTTGAGATGTAAAAACATGCCTTTAACAATTTTTCTCAGGTTAGCTCATAATTTTTTATTAGAGTTCAATGTTTCATCTCATTAATTCAACAAAGAAACTGATTGCACATAGATCTTAAGTATTTGCTCAAGGCCATCAAAAATTGCCCCTTGGGGGCTTGTAAATGAGCAGTGTTCTGAAGATAATAGACAAATGAGATTTTCATTGTCCATGAAATTACACTTAAATGATTAGTTAAGACATCTGCAAAGGACAGACAATCAAAAATTCTATTAGAGCAAAGAAGTCCTAAGAATTCAAGAAAAGAAGAATGGATGACTTTTTTACTTGTATAAGTAAAAAAATCTGAATGTCTAAGGGACATAACTAAGCCCAATTGTTTTACCTATACAAGTAAATAAAATACACTTGTATAAGTATCCTACAAATTTACTTATATAAGTATATTAATATTTACTTCTTCAAGTAAATAAAAATTATTTGTACAAATAGTACCCCTTACTGTTGAATGTATGCTTAATCTTGAATATGATTTCATGCATTTTTAATCTTAACAGGGTCTATAAAGCGCTTAACTTAACTGGGAATTCAAGCGTCTGATGAAGTGTTTTCGGGGCTATACATCATGGTAGCCAAACAGATGTTGCTGTCCAGTTTTTTCAAAACAACGATGTTTCACCAGCTAAGAAACAAAAAGAAGGGGCGGAGAGTTCCTCTATTGAAACTCCGGCTTCTGAAGAGCCAAGTACATCTTCTAATGTTACGATTAAGCGAATAAGAAAAATATTAGAAAATTTATTGATATTCTTCATTCATGTCATTAGCTCTACTGACTAGACTTTCATAACAAATTTCTTAGGCGACCTGAAATTATTTCCTGGCCACTAAAATTTTAAATTGGCCACTGAAATTTTATATCTGGTGGCCAAAAGGCAACCTTGTCTTTAAACCTACTTTGAGGGCTGCTCTAACATCGTTAGGTTGATTTTCTAGGCACTTTATACATATTCTAACGCCTGGTATTTCTTAATCATAAGAAATCTGATGGACAAGGTATAATTTGCAGTTATCACTACACATAGGCAGACATATACATTAAAAGTACATATAAGTTTTATTTAATATGTTTATTAGTATAAACATTAGTTGTGCCCTATAATTTCAACTGGGCCCCTGAAAAAAATGTGTTGTGGACCCAGCTGGCCCCTTGAGAAAAACAGTTGAAGTTTAGTCCTGGAAGCACATGAAACAGACAAGTATACATTTCTTTTTTAGCTTTACAAAACAAAATGTAGGGCACCATATTCCAAAGCTGGACAGATCATAAAAATATATGCATTTTACAACATAAATGATTAATTCATTTGTTTTTGTAGATGGACACTTGCCAACAGTTTGAATGTTTAGTATGATTTTGTGATACACACTTATACATAGACTGTATAAGGACAAAGATCAAAGATGACGATTGTTGAAAAGGCCAACAGTGCCACTGAAAAACAACAACCTGTAGAAAAAACCTCTGAAATTAATGTGACCAGCTCCAGTGAGAAACAAATGGAAGGGGAGTCCTCTGGGAATGATGTTGTTATGGATAAAGATGACCAAAATAAATCTGCCGTTAACGTCAATACTGGACCTGTTAAAGACATAAGGGTTTTAAATCTAACAAAGAAAATATTTTTATCCTTTCCTATTAAAAGTGAGGAGCAAAATTCAGAAGACACAACAGATGTTTGTCTTGACAAAAGCTGTGGGTCAGTAGAAAAAAAGGACACCGAAGTTATGTTGTATATTTCGCCCGAGGGGAACTTATACAGTGCCAGTCAATTAGAAAAACATAATGAAGACATAGACAAAAAATCACTGTTAAAAGAAGATGGTGTCGTTTATTTTATAAAACCTTTAAAAGATGAGGAACTTTGTGATCTTATATTTGAATATTTAGACTTAATCAAACAGGAGCCAAAAGGTTTATTTACTTTAGACATTGCAGGAAGTTTAATGAGGACAGGTAATAAACAGGATGTTAAATCAGAACCACAGAGTATGTACATGATGGAGGCAGCAGTTGATCAGAGTACTTCAAGCACATCACAGGTAAATGAGGCCCTAATTATGGACAGATTATAGCAGGTCAAATGAGGCCCTAATTATGGACAGATTATAGCAGGGTAAATGAGGTCCAAATTATGGACAGATTATAGCAGGGTAAATGAGGCCCTAATTATGGACAGATTATAGGAGGGTAAATGAGGTCCAAATTATGGACAGATTATAGCAGGGTAAATAAGGCCTTAATTATGGACAGATTATAGCAGGGTAAATAAGGCCCTTATTATGGACAGATTATAGCAGGGTAAATAAGGCCCTTATTATGGACAGATTATAGCAGGGTAAATAAGGCCCTTATTATGGACAGATTATAGCATGGTAAATGAGGACCTAATAAAGGATACAGTTTCTTACACTTAACAGGGTTCATGAGGGCCTACATATTGTACATGACATACATGTACATGTAAATCTTACAAATGTTTGTAAAATGTACTTCATTGTAGTACTATAAACATGTACATAGTAAATGTGAAAAATGAATGTACATCATGAAAATGTAATATAAGTATATACATAATATATAGGATTTAACTTTAAGATAAAAAAAAAACACTGAGATCTTATTATCATGATCATGAGACATAAAACCACATGAAACAACAATGAACAAGGAAGATACAAATGAAAATATCATGGGTCATATGTCATATACTAGCTCTTTTCTGAAAAATATATGTGTGTTTCCTATTTCCTTAAAGCTTCGAAATAGCCTACCTTGTTCAAGTCAGAATTTCTCTCCAATAGACTCAACATTCTCAATGAAAATAAAAATGTAAAATAAAAAAAAATCCCTACCTATCTTCCTACCCTATTTGTTTCAAAGATGTAATAGGAAACACACATATTATTTTATTTGGCCTTACCTCCATTGGAATGTTCAAAACTAAAAACATCGAAAAAGTGAAGGCAGAGAATCATGCAAAAAATATGTATAAGCACTTGAGGACATATATGTAGCCAATATGACCAACAGGGACTAAACTTAACATGATGAAAACAACAGCCTAATCCTTCTATGTGCATGTACATTGTACATATATAAGGCAACAGACATTATCATTTGAAATAAACCAATGATCTGACTTTTTGTTGAAATACAAAGATTTGTTATAATGAAGGGAGATAATTATGTAACATTTTTTTTTAGCAAGGGGAAGTAATTGTGAAAGAGGAACCAGAAGAACATGAAGAAGAGGAAGAAGAAGAAGAAGATGAAGAAGAAGATGATGAGGTATTTTAGCACTGTATACAAGTTATAATAATTAACCAAATAATCTGTTTGACAGATCACATACTGTATTTGTAATCAGACCTGTGACCTTTGGATGGGTTGGGGCTTTGTTAAGCTCCCTTGCAACCTGACGTCTCATTTATAATGATCTTTTAAATTGTACAAAACAGAGAAAAAGATCAGTTTCAGACTGTATGTAGTTTGCCTAAAAGTGGCTTGGTGACCTGAGACATACATAAAATTGAGAATGGAAATGGGGAATATGTCAAAGAGACAACAACCCGACCAAAGAGCAGACAACAGCCGAAGACCACCAATGGGTCTTCAACATGTTCAATGCAGCGAGAAAATCCCGCACCCAGGCCAACCTTAAAAATATGTTTGTTTGCAGTTTTCCGACTATACCTTCAGACTGCAGGGTCGGTAGGTAGGAAAAATATTTTATTTTATCAGCCAGAATAAAGTTTAAACAAGCAGTTTAACACAAACCAAGTTTCTTGTGAAGAAAAAAACATTTTAAAACAACAAACACTGAAAACAAACATGAAAGGAACAGGCATTTTCAGGTAAACACCTTTTTAACATGTTTAACCAAAACCGAAACTTAACATAGTGTCATTATACAATTTATGACATAAATTTATGGTATTATGAAATACTGGAACACTTATAAACAAGGAATGACTAGAATTGTTGTAAAGAAACATATTCACTTACATATATGCATCTTGAGTATTTGCATCAGAAAAATGTAGATATTAAAGATTCAAAAGACAATTTAGGAGTGTGTTAAAAAAATCAACCATTGAATCTTCCTCAATTGAACAAAAAGACAACTTAAAAAAAAATATATTAGACATCTGACTGTTATAAACATGATAAAGGTTATATTTGGAAAGATATGTTGATGCCAGGCTTTAATTAAAACAAACAAAAATCTTAAGACTAGCTTTGGGGTGAAATCCATAGCACCCCATTAAAAGTAAATGGTCTGTACTGAAATGTTTTGACTGCATAAAAAAATTGGCAGCATAGCTCCTAGCTAAGGACATATTTCAATTCAATTCACACAGTTTGGGTACATTTAATATTGTAAGAGAGAGAATAATTGCAATGAGTGGGACAGCCCCCCTTATCCTAAAGGAGCATACTCATTACAATCGAAGATAGATTTGATACAGAGAGAATATATTTATTTCTCAAGCCAACCATTCATTTTCTCTACACCTTTGTGTAGTTTGTGTGGCTTCTTATTGATTTAACATTTCAAATGCATCCTTCCACCGTACAGGCATGTTTACAGGTATCCATGAAGTCACGGAGGAGTGGTTTCATCTTTGTCGTCTTCACAACGATTTAAAGAAAACATTGCATACTTCAGGCTGCTGTCGAATTGTTGAACCACTGATATTGGTTCAATAAAGTCAGTCTCAAAAGATTCTGTATCCGATTTGTTTGAGACAGAAACGGTTATCGTGTCGGTTTTATGAATATCCGCTGCATCATCAAAGACATCATTTCGTGTGCAATTCTGCCTGAATCAGTATAAACAGTTTGCTATGAAACTTTTCTGTGTATTATTTGTCTTAAAATTGACAGAACACGACAGAATAAAGTACTCCTCCATGACTTCGTGGATACCTGTAAACACTCTCCATGTGCTTTACCATTAAAGGGTCAGATGAATGCTTGACAGGAAGGGAAGAAAAACGGAACTTCAAACATGTAATTGACCTAGACTCGAAATCAATTCCGGAAACGACCCGAAATTCCGAATCGAGTCAATAGAAGTATTAAAAATAATTTCTTCAAATTAAAAGCAATAAAATGTTCACAGTCGGGCGGATTTTCGAAGGTAGGTCAGTGAACTGCAAACAAACAATATTTTAATTTAAGCCCCAGAGGTGGTCCTCAGCTGGCCCCTAAATAAAATTGTGTACTAGTTCAGTGAAAATGGACGTCACACTAAACTCCAAAACATATAAATGAACTAATATTAAAAAACATACTAGACTAACAAAGGCCAGAGGCTCTTGACTTGGGAAAGGCGCAAAAATGTGGCGGGGTTAAACATGTTTTGTGAGATCTCAACCCTCCCCCTATACCTCTAGCTTATGTAGAAAAAAGAAACACATAGCAATACGCACAGTAAAACTCAGTTTAAAAGAAGTCCGAGTCTGATGTCATAATAGGAAACAAAAGAAACTAAGCATAATGACAATGATACATAAATAAACAAAGGACTACTAGCATGACTAGCAGTTACTAACATGAAAATTTTAAAATTATGATATAGTTTTTCTGTCTGGTAAAAGCCTCCTTTAGCAAATTGAAGATTCTGACTTATAAGATTTTGTTTTGTTTTCTGACAAGTTCCGTTTGCAGGAAAAGACCTCATGTAAGTAACCTTTGTGTTGTGATCCAGTGGAAATAAATATATACAAATGAACTTTAAAACTGGTTGGGAGCCTTCAAATTTTATTCAACTGTATTCATTGACCCGAATAAAAGTTTGATTTTATGAATCAATGTGAAATTCTTAGAAGTGATTGAAATGTGAATAAAAGGATTTTAAGGGGTATTTTAATGAAACAGCAGCCCACCAACCAAAACAAAAAAAACAACATCTAGATGTCAACATATGGTATATGTGTACTGTACATATGTACCTGCATGTCAAGTTCTAAATTGCCGCGAGTCTTTAAATTTTAAAAGCCGTAAACAAATATTAACAGTCTGTAATAACTTTTCTTGAGATATTTCTCACTTGGACCACAAACAGCGAGAGGTATTTATGATTCACATGATTTTATTTCCGAAAACAATATTACCAATTTATAGGTAGCTGTTTATAAGCAATATTAATACATCTGAAAAATGTAGCCGATAACTTGCAGAGATAATTGGAGGGAGACGTCCAAATTGTCTGCCAGCGACGTCATGCATTTTAGCGCTAACGTTGAGGTTACCAAGGGAGGACGCAATTTTTAGGACAAATTGCGTTTATCTTCGTATCCAGCACAGTGACATTTATTTTTTATTTGAGATTTGGAGAAAGCATGACAAAATGCAGTTAATGTAGGAAAATGATAAAAATTACATTTTCAGAACCACTCTATTTCCATATTTTAAGGTTAAAAATAATTACTATTTTGAGCATCTGGTCCGCAATGTCAAGGAAGGCTTGAATAATTGTATAGTCATTCTTGTAGGGATTTATTTTTTTCCTTATTGTCACTTATCACAGCTTCAGATTGAACCCGATCTTATTAATTTAACGACGAAGAATATCTACTCCAAAAATTTTATAACATTGCCTAACTTTTTTACAAAATTGCACAAATCCCCAATTTTCTCGAAAATAAGCACGGTGACCTATGTTTTATTTTGTGTTTTATTATATATCTCGCCAAGGCCTACAACATATTTCAAAATTATAAAAATGACATTATATATCGAGAAACTGTATCGAATGTCCTTAACTTGTGAAATTTGAATGTACAGAACAGATCCCATGTAATGATGTACAATTGCTTTACAATGCTTTACATAAAGAACAGCATGATGTAAAAAAGTGACAGAGTGTGTAAAAGTTACAATTTGTGTATACAATTGATGAAAATTTTTGTTGAAAGTTAACAATTTATCAAATACACATGAAATAAGTACTAAAGATGGGGCTCTACATGAACTTTTTTTACAACTTGCAATTAGTGAATGACGTGAAAGGAATTGCTACTATTATGACTATTATTCAAATTCCTATAGACAGTGATAGATATGATTGCAAAAATACAAATAGTAATTAAAGTTGTTGTATTGTCAGGGCTGATCGATTGATATGATGATTTATTGATAAAAAGGAAGAATTGAGACTTGATAATTAATGTAGATTAATATTTTCTCCCTTTTTAAAGCATTCATTGTTTACTTGGCCTTGCCCATCAGACAAGAACACTGCAGATTTAACTTATTTCATATAACTGACTTTTGACTCCGGAGTTTATTTTTTTTTAACAGGTTACATTCTCTCTTGTCATGCTTGTTAGACACCTGGTACTCTGTCAACCAAGAGCAACTTAAAGCAGTAAAATCAAGCTTTAAATCTGTACATTTTTAAGAGGAATAAACTGTATTTTCATTATACATTTTTACTACAAAATCGGAAAGCAGTAAATTTCCCCCGCAAAGTGCACATATTTTATGTTGGATGTTACTTATTTTGGTTGCTCTTACTTGACCAAGTACAGTATGTCTAACCACAGATTAGATGCCTGTCGAAAAATTATACAAATTACAATTCAAAGTCAGAAGTCGGTAACATGAAAAAAGTCTATTGAACAACTGTTAATCATGTTCATGTTAAACCCAAGAAAAACCAAATTTAAATTTATATTTGGATTAACAGGTTCCGGCTGTTGTACAATGAAATATATCATACATGACATAGTTGTTGGTTTCATCATTATTCATAGGGTTACAATTTTTCAAGGAATTCCTGGGTGAATGAATGGTAATCACAAATATTTAGTGTTCAATGAAACACATTATGTCATGTCTGTGCAGAACTTTTTCAAACCCCAAAAATGAAGTACAATAAAAATACAATTTGGGATATTCCACAAAAAGTAGCATGGTTAGTACCATGCAGATTAACGAATTCACGGTCATGACAGTAATTATGTTTTAATATTTTCAAATCCACAGTTTATAGAAGCAGCTCTTGCAGTTCCATGAATGTTTGAATTATATTGCACCAATTTTAATATGAGGCAGGCTTTACCTGTGAAAGGGAACGAAGTCCGTATCAATTATTTATTTTTAATTCTAACATATTTTTTAATGTTAAAAAAAACCTGGAAATACTGTAACGTTTCCGATGTTGGTCTAGTTGTTAGTGATCAAAGTCTCATGACAAACAAGACCGGAAGAAAGAAAGAGATTTCTGCGCAAATGCGGGAAAATAAAAAAGTTACAAAAAAAAAGTTAACGATATTGAGTTCATTAGTAGATTGAAAATCTTATATATATATTTTGTTTTTTATTATTGATTTTTCTACTGTAATAGGGGGCTCTCTCCCCTTATCAACAATTCATCATTTTCATGCTTAATTTTCTATTAAACAGGATGATATTGAGCAGCTGCAGAGCTTACAGAGTGGTGGAGGTTTAACTGGGCAATTGAGAGTTAAAGTATTGCAGTCTCTATATAACAAATCTAGATTCCAGGTAGGTGTTATCCTATGGATGTAGGAGGATATAGGCCAGGAATTACTAAATCCTGTAGCTCACCTGGCCCAACTTTAAAAAAAGAAATTGTTTGGGGGGGGGGGGGGCAATTTTTTCTCATTTCAGATTTCAAATTTCAAAAATTAAAAAGAAAATTTCTTCAAATATTATATTTTTTTTGCAAAAAGACGTGAAAGAAGGGGGTAGGTGAAAATTTTTTTTTTCTTTTTCTTTGGGGGGGGGGGGGGTCAATTTGCAATAGCATAGTGTATTGCACAAAAGCAAAAAATAAGGAGGGGTAAAAAATATTTTTTGGGGGGTATTTCACAACAGCATAGTGCATGTAGTGTATTGCACAAAAGCAAAAAAAAAAAGGGGGGGTAAAATTTTTTTTTTTGGGGGGGGGGGTCAATTCGCAACAGCCTAGTTTTTTGCTTAAAAGCGAAAAATTGAATATAAATTCTTATCCTATAACCAATACTTAGTTCTTTGACTACAGTTATTCTGTGTCAGAAACTTTTCATGTGTAAAATATTCAATTACAATCCAAATTCAGACCTGTATCAAGTGCGAATATTGTGTCCTTTTTTGCCCCAACTGTTTAGGGTTGGACCTCTGCGGTCGTATCCAGCTGTGCTCAGCGAAGCAATTTATTCTTGATGTTTTTATAATTTTTGTTGAATCCATCTCTATTTTTGCCTCACTTGTCGTAGAATGCAAAATATTGGAATGCTTATTCAGCATCTGCCACACTATTTCTATAAAGCTTTATATTCCTAAAAAAAAAGAACTTCCACTGTGTATCACTTTGATTACTTGTACTACTTACCAAGACTTACTTTTAATTTTATTTTTTTTAGAATTATGCATGAAATAATTGCCATTGGACGTTAAGCAACCAACCAATTCAACCCATCATAAATTTTAAATCATGTTCATTATCTTTTCCACATGGGACTTTTTTCAGTATGCATCTATTACCATTATGCAAAATTATCTAAAAAATGGTTCTTGGTTGTAGGGATATTTTAAAAGTCCCTTCCTACCCTCCCATATATATTTTAATGGAATAGCCCTTATGCTGCTGATGTATTTAAATTTAACTGTTCTGGCTCACTTCTGTATATTTTAATTATTGTCATGATGAGAGTTTTTAATTTTTATTAAGAAAAAAACAACAGCACCAACAGAGATGACTAAAACACCTAAGAGACGTGCAAGAAAGACTAAAAGACCTAAGGCACCTGCAGGGAAGACTGAGAGCCATGAGAACCTATCAAGTACTACAGAAATGAAAAGCATAAAAAGTAAGTATATATAGATATTGCATTGGTTTATTAATGCTCTTCAACTTTTTAATCCTTAAAAACGATATCCGTCCTGACAGAAGCTTCTCTGATATAAATGGCTTCCCTGTCTCTGACACAAGTGGGAGAACTTCATATTAGATATCAATAAAAATTTGTCTGTAGTTATATTGAAAAAAAAGAAGATGTGGTATGATTGCCAATGAGACAAATCTCCACAAGAGACCAAAATGACACAGAAATTAACAGGTATGGGTCACCACACAGCCTTCAACAATGAGCAAAGCCCATAACGCATAGTCAGCGATAAAAGGCCCTGAAATCACAAAGGTGAAACAATTCAAAAGAGAAAACTAAAGGCCTAATTAATGTACAAAAAAACATACGAAAAAACAATATGTAACACAGCAACAAACAACAACCACTGAATTACAGGCTCATGACTTGGAACAGGTAATTACAAGCAGAATGTGTTGGGGTTAAACATGTTAGCGGGATCCCAGACCTCCCTCTAATATGGGACAGTGGTGTAACAGTACAACATAAGAACAAACTATATAAATCTGTTGAAAAAGGCTTAACTCATCAGATGGATATATACAAATAGAAATACAACTAACAAAAACATAGATTGGATGTGACCGGGTACTTGTACATCCCAACATCATGAAAAGACACTAAGCATTCACTTAACTTACATCATGGACTCAGTTTAGTTAATGTTTTTAATAATATTTTTGTCAGAAAAAGAATTTATTTGCTAATTTTTGGTATTTAAATACATGAAATATAAGAAATTCATCTTTTTGGTCCTAAAATCATAAAATTTTAACCAATATGGCAAAAGTTTGAAAATATCAACTAGGTCATATGTAGGTTGTACAAATTAATTACACTTAACATTGTCAATCCCAAGTGTTTTTGTACATAAAACTGTATTTTATGTCGAAATAGTATACATGTCTGGCTTCAATTCTTCCAAATTCTTAAAAAAAAATGTTCATTCATTTCAAATTCTAGTAAATCTGTAAATTTCAGTTGATTTAGACATGGTTTTCAACAAACTGAAGCGCTATCATGGCCATGTTTACACCTTCATCAGGGCAATAAAAAAAGAAAGATAACTTGTGTTTGCAATGTTTTTGAGCGGGAAATATAAAAGAGATAGAATGCCAAGCCCTGGTAAAAGGATTAATATATATAGACCACTATCATTACTTTTAATACGACCGCAAACATTTTTTTGGGTTTGTATAATGGTATGATGTCGAAGACACATTTGGTTTCCAGACAATAACTTTAGTTTTAGTGCATGGATCTCTATGAAATTTTTTAAGAATGTTCAATACAACAAAAGAAAGTTTGGGATTGATTTTGGGGGTTATGGTACCAACAGTTTAGGAATTAGGGGTCAAAAAGGGGCCAAAAACAAGCATTTTTCTAGTTTCCAGACAATAACTTGTGTTTAAGTGTATGGATCTCTCTAAAATTGTACTACAAGGTTCCATACTACATAGTGAAGGCTGGGATTGAGTTTGGGGGTAATTGCTACAAAAGGTTGGGGGGGGGGGTCAAAATGTTTTGGGGAATTTTTTCCCCCAATTTTTAAAGGGGTACATATTTTTTTTTTCAAAAATTTTCAAAGAAATATTCAATTGCACAGTATTGCACAATAGAATTTAAAGATCTTTGACCACATTTATTTTGTGTCAGAAACCTATATTACATGTATGTCAAAAATTTTATAGCAATCCAAATTTAGACATTGATCCGATCAGGATTTGACAAAGGCAGAAAGTGCTAATCTCAAAACTTGCATGACATTGTACAGATCAGGATTTGACAATGGCAGAAAGTGCTAATCTCTAAACTTGAATGACATTATTCAGATCAGGATTTGACAAAGGCAGAAAGTGCTAATCTCAAAAAAGGCATGATTACATCTTCTTTAAAAATATTGAACTCTTTTAATTCATTTGTTTCTAAATACAATTAGATACTGTACACTTATTTTTGCAAATGATTATTTTTTCACAACTTTCACGAGTCGAAAAATTATGCGAATATAAATACTGTGGATTCATTTATTTTCGTGGGTACCAATTTTCGTGGATTAAGGAAACCTTGCATTTTTGTGGATATGTGATTTCGTGGTTCTGCCAAAGTCTGCATACAAACCTATAGCAAATTGGTCATTCATTGAACAGTTAATTTCTTGATTCGCCTGTACCCACGAAATCCACCAAAATTGGTATCCAACGAATAATATTGAATCCACAGTAGTGGCAAATATATGAAACTTAGATAATTCCATATTCAACTTCTGCAAGTAAAATTTAAAATCGTGAAATTAAATCTCTGGGAAAGGGGATAAAAAGAGCTTAACGCAAAAAAAAAAGTGTCATCAAAAAATAAGTTGGTATACAGTCTAAAATTGAGAATAGAAATGGGGAATGTGTGAAAGAGACAACAACCCAACCAAAGAGCAGAAAACAGCCAAAGGCTACCAATGGGTCTTCAATAGAGTGAGAAACTCTGGCACACAGAGGCGTGCTTCAGCTTGCCCTTAAACAAAAATGTGTACTAGTTCAGTGATAATGGATGTCATACTAAGCTCTGAAATATATAAAAGAAACTAAAATTAAAAATCATACACGACTAACAAAGGCCAGAGTCTCCTGACTTGGGAGTATGTTCTTTTCACATTAAAAATAGGAGCAATACATTACAGACATATCACCAGGTTTCATGCGAAAGATAATTCTAATGTATTAAAGATTGTCCCCTAAAAATAAATAATTTTTATGCCCCACCTACGTCTGTTCGTCCATCTGTCCCTCTTTAGGTTAAATTTTTTGGTCAAGGTAGTTTTTGATGAAGTTTAAGTCCAAACAACTGGAAACTTTTTAATAATAGTATACATGTTCACTATGATATGATCTTTCTAATTTTAATGCCAAAATAGAGTTTTTACCCCAATATCAGGGTCCACTGAACATAGAAAATGATAGTGCGAGTGGGGCATTCATGTACTATGGACACATTCTTGTTTTTTTTATTTCAGTGAAAGCAGGACGAAAGAGGAAACCTGGCAATAGGTTGATCATTGACCACCTCACTGGTTTGTCCATAATCCAAATGAAAATGAACATGCAGATAACAAACGATATTGTAAATAAAAATTCCCAAGTTGTACCTAGTACAAAGAAGTCAAGAAAAGACGCCACAGACACCATATTGACATCACCAGGAAAAAGTTTACAGTCTGATAAATTGTTAAAGGTAAGACTTTATAAAATCTTCAATGTTTGGATGGGCCAGTATTCAAAACTTGAGCTATGAAGTTACCTTTTTATCCTTCATTACTTGGTGTCCATTGTCTTTTTTATAGTGAATCAGTGTTGAATTTAAAAAAACTAGAGATTGGATGAATGATCCTAAGGATAGATAGTGTAAAGAATGTGTTTTTATACGCCCGTTTACGGGACGTATTATGGTATCCGTCTGTCCGTCCGTCGTCAACATGACGGACATTAACTCAAAAACACTTAAACCAATTTGCATAAAACTTTGGTGAATTGTTAACATCTATTGACGTCAGCTCCCTTTCGTTTTTTATAAATTTTAGATTTTACGTTTCCGAGTTATGGGGTTTTATTCATTAAAAAGGGGGATTTTCCAGTTTTCGGACAATAACTCAAGAATGCTTTCACGCTCTTGCAAGAAATTGTGGTGAATTGTTTATATCTATTGACACGAGCTCCCTTTTGGATTTTTATAAATTTTAGATTTTACGTTTCCGAGTTACAGGGTTTTATTCATAAAAAAGGGGGGATTTTCCTGTTTTCGGACAAAAATTCAAAAATGCTTTCAGCAGTTCTTATGAAACTTTGGTTAATTGTTTATATCTATTGATGTAAGCTCCCTTTAGAATTTTATAAATTTTACATTTTACATTTCTGAGTTATGGGGTTTTATTGTAGAGCCTGCGAATTTTGTTGCAGAAAGCTCGACATAGGGATAGTGATCCGTCGGCGACGTTAGCTTACTTCTTAAACATGTTAAAAGCTTTATATTTTAGAAGTTGGAAGACCTGGATGCTTCATACTTTGTATATAGATGCCTCATGTTACGAATTTTCCGTCTGTCACATTTCCATTGACCTTGACCTCATTTTCATGGTTCAGTGACTACTTGAAAAAAAAGTTCAGATTTTTTGTAATGTTAATTTCTCTCTTATTATGAGTAATAGGATAACTATAATTGGTATGTGCGTACCTTGCAAGGTCCTCATGCCCGTCAGACAGTTTTTACTTGACCTTGACCTCATTTCATGGATCAGTGAACAAGGTTAAGTTTTGGTGGTCAAGTCCATATCTCAGATACTATAAGCAATAGGACTTGTATATTTGGTGTATGGAAGGACTGTAAGGTGTACATGTCCAACTGGCAGGTGTCATCTGACCTTGACCTCATTTTCATGGTTCAGTTGTTATAGTTAAGTTTTTGTGTTTTAGTCTGTTTTTTCTTATACTGTATACAATAGGTCTACTATATTTGGTGTATGGAATGATTATAAGGTGTACATGTCTAGCTGGCAGGTGTCATCTGACCTTGACCTCATTTTCATGGTTCAGTGGTCAAAGTTAAGTTTTTGAGTTGTGGTCTTTTTTTCTAATACCATATGCAATAGGTCAACTATATTTGGTGTATGGAAATATTTTATGATGTACATGTCAGTCTCGCAGGTTTTATTTGACCTTGACCTCATTTTCACGGGACATTGCTCAGTGTTAAGTTTTGTGTTTTGGTCTGTTTTTCTTAAACTATAAGCAATAGGTCAACTATATTTGTTGTATGGAAGAATTGTAAGCTGTACATGTCTGCCTGGCATGGTTCATCTGACCTTGACCTCATTTTCATGGTTCATTGGTTAATGTTTAGTTTTCTTGGTTAAGTCTATTTCTTAGAAACTATAAGCAATAGGTCAACTATATTTAGTGTATTGAATGATTGTAAGGTGTACATATATGTCTTGTTTTGTTTATATGACCTTGACCTCATTTTCTTGGATCATGTTAAGTTTATGTGATAGTTGTAGTAAAGCTTTACATTTAGGGCTATCAACAGAACATCAATAATTAGTAAAGAAGGCGAGACATTTCAGTGTGTGCACTCTTGTTCATTAAAAAAAGGGGGATTTTCCAGTTTTTGGACAATAACTCAAAAAAGCTGTCAGCAATTCTCATGATAATTTGGTGAATTGTTTATATCTATTGATGTAAGCTCCGTTTTGATTTTCATAAATTTCTAATATGACATTGAGAATTAATTGAACTTTATTTGTTTATAGTCTGACAACAGATTTACTAAGTATTGCGCAACAGCAAGAAATCTTTAATTGAATTCAATTCATATAACATATAACCAATTTCAAGTTCTTTGACTACATTTATTCAGAAACCTTTAATATGTCAAATATTTAATTACAATCCAAATTCAGACCTGTATCAAGCTTGAATATTGTGTCCATTTTTGCCCCAACTGTTCAGGGTTGGACCTCGAGGGCGTATCCAGGAGTTGCTGCCCTTGAATGACATGTTTTGCTAATTTAATTTTTGTCTAGCCTTCGACTTTTGTCGAAAAAGCCGAGAACATAGCGATCCTACATTCCGGCGGCGGCGGCGGCAGCATCCACAAATATTCACTCTGTGGTTAAAAGTTTTTGAAATTTTAATAACTTTTTTAAACTATCCTGGATTTCTACCAAACTTGGACAGAAGCTTGTTTATGACCATAAGATAGTATCCAGAAATAAATTTTGTAAAAAAAGAAATCCTGTTTATTCGTATTTTACTTATAAATGGACTTAGTTTTTTCTGCTAGTTAACATTACATTTACTCTGTGGTTAAAGTTTTTAAGATTTTAATAACTTTCTTAAACTATCCTGGATTTCTACCAAACTTGGACAGACGCTTGTTTATGATCAAAAGCTAGTATCTAGAAGGAAATTTTGTAAAAATATATTTCCTGTTTTTTCAGTATGTTACCTATATATATGAACTTAGTTTTTCTTCCAGTTAACATTGCATACAGTCTGCAGTTAAAGTTCTTCAAACATTTATTAGATTCATAAAGTAGGTGAGACACTGTGTTCTGCGGAACCCTTACAAATTTTTTTTTTTAGCTTGGTTTCAGTCGTTCGTAATCCTCCGTTTTACAAAAATCTTCTCCTCTAAAACTAATTGGTCACAATCACCATTGGGGTATCTAGTTTAAATAATGTGTCTGATGACCCCGCCTGCCAACCAAGATGATGGACATGGCTAAAATTAGAACATATTTGTAAAAAGGCAGTTTTTGGCTTATATATCTCTGAAACTAAAGCATACCTGTCAACTGACATCGATCCTGCGGGTGTGACCCGAGATTTTCACAATTCTGAGGGATCACCCGGAACACCTGCCGGGTGACCAAATAACCCGGGAATTCGGAAAATAACCCGGATTCCTTAGCCTTCAGACTTATTAGATATAAAGTGGTTTCAATGAAATACTGGCAAATTCGTAATTCTTCCTGGACAAGAAGTTCAACTAGCTGTGTAAACTCAGCTCAATTGACCCATTTCTGTGCATGGCTTCCCTTGACAGTTTTGGTGTCAAACACACAGTTAATTAACACCAATTACCTTAGCTTTAGGTCGTAAATAATTTGTGTATTTCAAAGTTGTTTTAAAGTTTCAAAGTTACTTCCCCTTTTTTTTTGTCAATTTACAATATACTCCTTAAACTTATGTTTTTTTTTTTGTAAAAAGATTAAATCTAAAATGAATTGAATGCACAAACATATCAGAATAATACTTTTACTTATGTTCTACCTTAGAAGAATTAAAAAATAAAAATTTTGAATTTTTTTTTATTTTTTCATCTATACCTCTTTTAATTGTTTAACTTTATTTTATTATACTCTAATATCAGCCAGTGTTATGATTTACATCACAGTCACGTCTCAGTCATTACAACTGAACGGACGTGCTGGGTCAGCTCTCCTTTACCCGCTATCTTCGATGAGGGTTTACTGTTAGATGGATCAACGACTTACTACTTTGGATGACAGAAACCAATCCAATGCTGTACAGACTACGTTAGGCTATAATCCGCGTAGGGCTAATTCCCGCGTCAACATACACTCCAAAACCCATTATGGATGGGGGAGTGGTATGCCGAGTGACTTCCGAGGGCTGTATCCTAGGTGTTAGATGATGGACCACCATTTCACTGTCTCACGACTTTGGTCCTGATAATGCTTCCTGTCATCTTTAATACTACGTCCAAGACTCATCTACCAGTACTCAATCATTGAGGTTAGCGGGCTGCCAAGCTGACTAATCTGGCCCTGAAAGCAGCCGTTGTGAAGACATAACATCAAAATAGTCAACAAAAGAAAAACCAAAACAACTCACAAAACCAAGATGCGGCCTACCAAAATGGCGTCCTCCACCTGTTCCTGACCGATGGCAAAAAATTATTTAAACGCTCACCAAACGCCTTCGGGCACCGAGCCGACTCTGCGAGGGATGTATATCCAGTCAAGGTCGTTAAACACTTCCAGTAGTTATGATTTAATTACCAACCGTGCAAGGGCTGTATAGCCAGTCAAGGTCGTTAAAAACTTCCATTTGTTGTGTTATGATTTACTGATTAAAAGCTGCACAAATGTATGTAAAGAAAACACAAAGTGGCACATATATGTCATGGAATGAATATGAACAGGAACACAAATCTATCAATGGACTCTAGGTGCAATGAAATAATAATATGTACAATTTTAAATTACTTAACCATGTGGACATGTTTTGGAAACTTTGATATAAATTATAAGAAAAATGTCCCCTAAATACTGAAATTCAGCTAGAAAAAGTTCGGACGCGTTATGACCTGTCATTGTCATAGGTTGACAGGTATGTTAAAGCATTTATCTGCCCTGAAATTTTCTGATGAGACCACCCATTGGGTTGCTGCCCCTGAATGGTTAATTTGAAGGAAATTTTGCAGTTTTTAGCTCACCTTTCTGAAGAAAATGTGAGCTTTTGCCATTACTTGATGTCTGTCTACGTCGTCATCGTGTGTTAACTATTTCAGACATCTTCTCCTCTGAGACTACTGAACCAATTCCAACCAAACTTAAGCTGAATGATCCTTAGGGTATCTTAAATAAACTTTGTGCTTTTTTTCTTTTTCGTCAAAAAACATGGCCACCATGCATATGGCTAACAATAGAACGTAGGAGTAAAATGCAGTTTTTGGCTTATATCTCAAAAAATAAAGCATTTAGAGCAAATTTGACATGGGGAAAAGGGTTCATTAGGTAAAGATCTATCAGCACTGAAATTTTCAGATGAATCTAATTACCCATTGTTGGGTTGCTGCCTCTGAATTGGTAATGTTAAGGAAATTTTGCAGTTTTTATGTCCCATTTATGGGCATTATGTTTTTCCGTCCGTTCATTCATTTGTCTGTCCCGCTTCAGGTTAAAGTTTTTGGTAAAGGTAGTTTTTGATGAAGTTGAAGTCCAATCAACTTGAAACTTAGTACACATGTTCCCTATGATATGATCTATGATGATGAGTTTTAACCTGAATTTCACGGTCCACTAAACATCAAAAATGTTCAGCAAAGTAGGATCTACAAAAAAGTTTATATGACCAAAATTGTCAATTGACCTTTTAAGGAGTTATTGCCCTTTAAAGATTATTTTTCACAATTTGTTCATCTAGTTTGCTAACTTTAAAAAATCTTCTCCTTTGAAACTGCTGAATCAATTTCAGCCAAATGAGTTTCAGAGTATCTAGTATAAATTTTGTATTTTATTTCCTTGTACATCAAGAAACATAGCTACTTTAGCTAAAATAGAACATAGGGGGAAAATGCATTTTTATACGACCGCAAAAATTAAAAATTTTTTGGTCGTATATTGGTATGACGTTGGCGTCGTCGGCGTCGTCGTCTGGCGTCGTCCAGCGTCGTCCGAAGACACATTGGTTTTCGCACTCTAACTTTAGTTTAAGTGAATGGATCTCCATGAAATTTTACCATAAGGTTCAATACCACGAAAGGAAGGTTGGGATTGATTTTGGGGGTTATGGTATCAACAGTTAAGGAATTAGGGGCCAAAAAGGGGCCAAAAATAAGCATTTTTGTAACTTCCAGACAATAACTTGTGTGTAAGTGTATGGATCTCTCTGACATTGTACCACAAGGTTCCATATCACAAAGGGAAGGCTGTAATTGATTTTGGGGGTAATTGCCCCAAAATTTTAGGAATTAGGGGCCAAAAAAGGGGCAAAATACAAGCATTTTTCTAGTTTCATGACAATAACTTGTGTGTAAGTGTTTGGATATTTCTGAAATTGTACTACAAGGTTCCATATCACAAAGGGAAAGCTGGAATTGAGTTTGGGGGTAATTGCCCGAAACGTTTAGGAATTGGGGGCCAAAAAGGGGCCTAAAATAAGCATTTTTCTAGTTTCCAGACAATAACTTGTGTTCAAGTGTATGGATCTCTCTGAAATTGTACTGCAAGGTACCATACCACAAAGGGAAGGCTGGTATTGAGTTTGGGGGTGATGAATCATAAGGGGGTTCAAAAAATTTGGGAGGGGGGATTTTTTTTTTTTTTCCTTTTTTTTTTCTTTTAAAATTTTCCATTTTAAGTTGGTTATTTCTGATTAATATTTAAAAGCAAATAATAATGATATGGTAGGAGATACACACCAAACAGGATGTGTAAATTATTATATAATAAGTATTGTGCAATAGCAAGAAATTTTCAATTGCACCGTATTGCACAATAGCAAGAAATCTTCAATTGCACAGTATTGCGCAATAGCAAGAAATCTTCAATTGTACAGTATTGCGCAATAGCAAGAAATATCCAATAGCACAATATTGCGCAATAGCAAGAAATTGTCAATTGAACAGTATTGCGCAATAGCAAGAAATATTCAATTGCACAGTATTGTGCAAAAGAAGATACTTCGTATAAATTGCTTATTTCTTGATCAATTTCAATGGGGTTTTATTCTTGAATTCTTGGGGTTCTTTAATATGCTGAATCTAACCGTGTATTAAGTTTTTGGATTTTGGGCCCCATTTTTAAATTGGTCCACATTGAGGTCCAAAGGGTCCAAAATTTAACTTTGTTTGATTTCATCAAAAATTGAATTATTGGGGTTCTTTGATATGCCGAATCTAACCGTGTATTTAGATTCTTAATTTTTGGTTCCGTTTTCAAATTGGTCTACATTAATTTCCAAAGGGTCCAAAATTAAACTTACCGGTAGTTTGATTTTAACAAAAATTGAATTTTTAGGGTTTTTTGATATGCTGAATCTAAACATGTATTTAGATTTTTGATTATGGGCCCAGTTTTCAAGTTGGTCCAAATCGGGGTCCAAAATTAAACTTTGTTTGATTTCAACAAAAATTGAATATATGGGGCTCTTTGATATGCTGAATCTCACCATGTATTTAGATTTTTGATTTTTGGGCCCCGTTATCAACTTTGTCCACATTGAGGTCAAAAGGGTCCAAAATTAAACTTTGTTTGATTTCATTAAAAATTGAATTCTTGGGGTTCTTTGATATGCTGAATCTAACCATGTATTTAGATTTTGGATATTGGACCATAATAGGTGAATGTCCAATTTAAAATTTTTAAGTTCTTAGACCACATTCATTCTGTGTCAGAAACCTATGCTGTGTCAAATATTTAATCACAATCCAAATTCAGAGCTGTATCAAGCTTGAATGTTGTGTCCATACTTGCCCCAACTGTTCAGGGTTCGACCTCTGCGGTCGTATCAAGCTGCGCCCTGCGGAGCATTTTATTTGATTTTGAAGAAAATATGACAGATACAATACAAAGAACATTTAAATGGCATTTTAAGCCACTCAATAATATATATTGAAAAGCAAAAGTAATCATTGATGAAAGATTTAAGCAAAAAATTACAGGTGTATATATGTTTTTGTCAACACATGTCGTTATCTTGACCTTTTAGTAGATTACATTAAAAATGACAGGGATTATGACATACAAATGTATAAATATATATATATATGAATATGACATTTTTATAATCATAATTTACATAAATATATTTACAGATTTATGACAGTTGTTTGGTAACTAGAACATCACCAGATTCAGATGACGAACTGGAAGATTTAGGTTTGCAGGAGTTGCCTGATAATGCTCCAAAATATGCCACATACTGTAAGTGTTCTTGTTCTTTAACAATCATGTGAAAGAGGAAGTTAAAGAGGGGCTTGGAGATGTAGGAGGGGTATATACTGTGGTGCTGGAAGTTTATATTTAAGTTTAAGGAATCCTCCTGGGCCCCCTTTTAAAAAAAAAACGTTTTAGTATTGGTGGTTATATTGTATATGATAAGGTTAGGACGGGTCGGTGTAAGTAAGTGAAAGGCCACAATCTTCAAAGTTGACTTCATCAGCAAAATTTCTTTAGTTGTCTGAAAGAGAAGCTTCCTCACAGAAAGTGAAATTTAGTCTGAAAAATTATTTTGAGATCCATATAATCTGTGTATATATAGAAATATGAGACTCAAGATATGTTTTTTTTTTAAATGCTCTTGCCTGTAAACATTTTATGTATGGTCTGAGGTAAAAAAAAAAAAAAAAAGCAAAAAAGCACACAAGAAATATTTTATAAAATGTTTTTGAAAATCAAGAATTTAATTTTTTTTAAATCTAGATCATATCACTTCTTTTCCATATCACATCACTTCATTTTACTGTGGATTCATTTATTTTTGTGGGTACCAATTTTCGTGGATAAAGAAAAACTTACACATTTGTGTATATTCAGTTTCGTGGTTTTGCTGAAGTCTGCATTCTAGAGTATAGAAAATTTGTTATTCGTTGAACTTTTAATTTTCCTCATTCACTTGTACCAACGAAATCAAAGAAAATTGGTATCCAACGAAAAATAATGAATCCACATTATGCTCCAGAGATAGGGGTTAAAGATTAAGATCCCAACAATTTGAAAGAGCTAGGGCTCTCCAAGATGGATGCATGAAATACATAGTAAACACAAGGTTTTTTGGGGACTATAATTACATTTGTAAAAGATTTTGGACATGGGATGACAAGTCATAGTTGACATGTGATTTTAAGGATGAAATTCATAAGAAAGTTCGCTACTCAGTTTCAAAATAACAAGCTTTTCATAACACTAGTATATATTGATAGGGGATTAATATAGGAACAAAAAGAGCAAAAATAAAATATAGGTCAATGTGCTTGTTTTCGAGATATTAGCCATTGAAATTTTGGCAGGAAAATATCCTCTCTTGATTTTTCATAGCTTTATCATTGACAAGTTAAAGTTCTCAAAAACTATTAAAAAATAATTAATATTTTATAAGACTTTTACAGATGGCTTATAATTATGCATGTAAAAGATTTTTAAAAAGAAAAATGGGGGTCAATGGGCAAAATTATTTAAAGCATTCGAGTAGATAAAACCAGAGGATTCCGAAAATCTGACAAAAATTCCAAAACATGACAAGCGAACTTCCTTAATAATGTATGTGGTTTCAATGTTTTTAATGTGTTAATATTGTTTTAAGGAATAACTTGTTTGGTAGAAAAAATAACAAGATTAACATGATTAAGAAAGCATTACAAAAGATCCCTTACAAAGTCTGTGGCTCTTTTCACAAAAAATCTTAAAAGCAAAAATACTTGTAAGTCATACACGCTGGAGCCTACAACATGTATAAGTGGTGGGCATTGGTTGCTCTCTACCAAATTTTTAATTCATTTTTGTCGAGCCTGCGACTTTTGTCGCAGAAAGCTCGACATAGGGATAGTGATCCAGCGGCGGCAGCGGCGTTAGCTAACTTCTCAAAAGCTTTATATTTTAGAAGGTGGAAGACCTGGATGCTTCATACTTTGTATATGGATGCCTCATGTTACGAAGTTTCCGTCAGTCACATGTCCAATGTCCTTGACCTCATTTTCATGGTTCAGTGACTACTTGAAAAAAAAGTTCAGATTTTTTGTAATGTTAAATTCTCTCTTATTATAAGTAATAGGATAACTATATTTGGTATGTGCGTACCTTGCAAGGTCCTCATGCCTGTCAGACAGTTTTCACTTGACCTCGACCTCATTTCATGGATCAGTGAACAAGGTTAAGTTTTGGTGGTCAGGTCCATATCTCAGATACTATAAGCAATAGGTCTAGTATATTTGTTCTATGGAAGGACTGTAAGGTGTACATGTCCAACTGGCAGGTGTCATCTGACCTTGACCTCATTTTCATGGTTCAGTGGTTATAGTTAAGTTTTTGTGTTTTGGTCTGTTTTTCTTATACTGTATGCAATAGGTCTACTATATTTGGTGTATGGAATGATTGTAAAGTGTACATGTCTAGCTGGCAGGTGTCATCTGACCTTGACCTTATTTTCATGGTTCAGTGGTCAAAGTTAAGTTTTTGAGTTTTGGTCTTTTTTTCTAATACTATATGCAATAGGTCATCTATTTTTAGTGCATGGAAATATTTTATGATGTACATGTCAGTCTCGCTGGTTTTATTTGACCTTGACCTCATTTTCACGGTTCATTTCTCAGTGTTAAGTTTTTGTGTTTTGGTCTGTTTTTCTTCAACTATAAGCAATAAATCAACTATATTTGTTGTATGGAAGGATTGTAAGGTGTAAGTGTCTGTCTGGCAGGTGTCATCTGACCTTGACCTCATTTTCATGGTTCATTGGTCAATGTTAAGTATGGTTAAATTTGTTTCTTAGATACTATAAGCAATAGGTCAACTATATTTAATGCCTAAATTGATTGTAAGGTGTACATGTCTGTCTGGCATGGTTCATCTGACCTTGACCTCATTTTCATGGTTCATTGGTCAATGTTAAGTTTTCTTGGTAAAGACTGTTTCTTGGAAACTATAAGCAATAGATCAACTATGTTTGGTTTATTGAATCATTGTAAGGTGTACATGTATTTCTCGTTTGGTTTATCTGACCTTGATCTCATTTTCTTGGTTTATGTGTTACTTGTAGTAAAGCTTTATATTTAGGACTATCAACATAAAATCAATGCTTAGTAAAGAAGGCGAGACATTTCAGCGTGTGCACTCTTGTTTCTATTATCATAAATCAGGCAGTTTGTTTTCCTGTTTGAAATCTTTCACATTTGGTCATCATGCAGGGGCCTTTTATTGCTTACTTTAGGGTGTGGGGTTTGTCCATTGTTAAAGGCTGTATGATGGCCTAAATTAACATCCCTTGGTCTCTGGTGGACAGTTTGCAATCATATTGGCTCTAGTTATTTTTATGAAGAGAATGTAGATTCAAGAAAATAGAAATTGTTACATGGAGTTTGAGAAACACAAGTTTCTTAGATTTACATGAATACATATAAATGTGTTTCGAGTGCCACTTTTGTCTGAAGAATTGTGATACATTGTATTTTGAGTCACCTTGGCTTGTGTTGTACATGGAAAGATAATTGGTTTCCCTTTACAAGAATGACAAATATGCAAGAAATAATAATTTTTAAAAAGGGGGGGGGGGGGGGAGAGAAAAATAGTATTGTCCATTCAAGGTCTTCTCATTCCAAGTATATGGTCACATGGTAAATTAGAATTCAAGTGTAAGAATTCAAAATGATTTATCAATAACTGTTAATTATCCAATGGTATTAGCTAATCAAGATGACACATCATCAGAAGGAGATTATCATTGGTAAATAAACCAGGTCACATCTCTGGCCAGCCTATAATCGTTTGCGTGTCTCTGCATGAACAAGAAAACCACATGACAATATTTACCACTTAATAGAATATATGTTTGTCCACAAATTATGGTATAGAAATCCAATGTAAAAATTTTCACAAAAATTATATGATCAAGCCAAATAATTTTGAGATGTGAGATTAAGAGAGATATCTTGGGATGTACCAAAACAGGTACTTCAGATCTGACAAACAGGCAAATTGTACCCTCTTTTTTAAATTTCCTGAAATTTTTTTATTATTCAAAATTTAAAGTTAAAGAGTGTTCTAGAATGATCACCAGTCATTCAGCTTTCATTTGATAAAAAAATTACCTTAATATTCTACATATGGCCGGGCTCGAATTAGTATGTGTTACACCTATAACTAGGAATGACAAAACTTCTCTGTGCAATTATCTCAGGTGAGTATATATTATCAATGCTTTAAAACATTAAGATTTGGCATTACTTTCTGTGTAGACAAGTTATTTACAATCTCGTTCTGCTTCAAGTCAAAATCAATGTTGTATTAGTGTTATAATTTATTCGTGTTTATTTTCTTACATGTAAAATATTTCTGTAGGAAAATATCAGAATGCTTTATTTTATCGCATGATAGTCCACAACTTGTATTTGGAGACAAAACTTGATTTAACAGAACAGCTGAGGAGAATTTTGAAATTTCCACTTGCCCACTGTGGGGATGTCATTTCTGCCAATTTAGATTTGAACTAAAATTTCTATAAAATTGTTCCAATTCAGAAGCCATTTAATGTGGATTCATTTACTTTCGTGGATTTAACAAAAATACAAGATAATTGATTTTATGGTCTTTTCAAAAGTCTGCTAATTACAAACCTAAAAAAAATTGGTACCTTCTTGAACATTTAAGTTTGTGGCTAACCTTTATCCACAAAATCCCTGGAAATTTACATCACACGAATAATAATGAATCCACAGTGACTGATTTTTCTAAAGTATAGAAATTTTGTGTTCAGAACTTTTAAATACTGTGGATTCGTTATTAATTGTGGGATATCAATTTTAGTGGATTTCGTGAGTGCAGGTTAACCACGAATTCAAATGATCAAACTAAGTACAAATATTCTATATATGCTTGTATTTAAACTTTGGCAAAACCACAAATTCAAATATCCACGAAAATACAATTTTTCCTGAGTCCACGAAAAATATAAATTTTAAATTTTAAATTTTTGGTACCCCTCATCAAATAATTCAATATTAATGAATCCACTATAAATGGCCTGTCAAATCTTATTTATAGTCACATGGAACTTCCAACAATGTCTTAATAGTAACCCACACCAATCTTGGAGGATTAATGGGGACAAGTTTTCATCATTTATTTTGTAAATTTCCACCTTGTATTCTTGTAAAAAGGCTTCAATCCTTTTTTTGTAAAAGAAAAAAGACAAATACATTTTTTCCAAAGAAAAT